CACACACACACACACACACACACACACACACACACACACACACACACTTCCATCTTTCACACACAGGATTGCATAGGTATCTGTGCAGTCCATGTCCTGCAGGCCAGGGGGACTTTCAGAAATCCACTACCCTCTGTATGGTACAATTCTCCCCCCAGCCCAGGGAGCTGGAGGCAGAGTTCCAAAACCTCCCAGAAGAGCAATGGGATTTTTGAATTCTCTTCTCCGCCCCACTGGAAATCTCTGGTCTCTGTGCTTACTGACAGTCACTGCTGGGGAGAAATGGTCCAAATGCTGAGGAGTCTAGGCACTGAAGTGGAACTGACCCGTCCCTGAAATCCCAGCATGTATGTTTGATCCCTGGCCACAGAACCAGAAGGGCTGGGGCAATTTAGTGTGTACTGCACCAGCCACACACTCCTGCCATTAGCTTCAAAGGGCTGTTAGTGACACAAGGCTCCCAGGGGGAGGGAGGGAACATGTATGTTGGGGGCAGAGGGGAAGCTTATAAACCCCAAATAGTCTACAGAATGTAGGGGGGTGAAGGTGGGAAGATTACTATGCAACCCTCAGGGTTTTGAATTTGAGGTCTGAGTCAATTTCCCAGCTCTCATCCTACCTCATTGATTAGTAAGATGCTATGTCCATCTCCAACACCTTCATGGGTGCAGTTCAGAGCACTGTGGGGGTAGATCAGGATTGTTATCTCACTTTTACATAGAAATAGACACAGAGATGAATTGCTCACACTCACATGAATGAGTCAATACCAGAGCTGGAAACAGAACCCAAGAGTCCTGGCTCCTAGCCCTCCGATCCAGTGACCAGTCCACATTCCCCTCCTGGATATGGGAAGATCACCCAGGAATCCTGCCTTCCAGGCCCCAGCTCTCACTACTGGAACATGGGAAAAGAACCCAGGAACCTGGGGTCCCAGTCCTTGCTCTAACCACCAGTGTGCATCCCTTCCCAGTGACATGATCTCTCGTAGGTAGGCTACTATCAATGCTACAAGTGCTCTTTAGGAATAGTTAATACAAACATTTCAAATCAAAGTAATTTCAAATTATAATAAACAAATAACCCTGCAGCTGCAAAGGGCAAGGAAGGTCTGATGTGGGGGGGGGGGGAGACAAACTTTCTCCCAAAAGAAAGAACAAGAAGATGCTCAAAACAGGCAGCAAAATTAGGAGCTCAGTCCATGCTTGTCATGCTGATCGTCAGGGTAAGGGGGGGAATTTTCTCCATGCTACACTGCACTGTTGGATCACTGGCCAAGTGCATATGGGTGGGGAGGGGTCCTCTTTAAAGAAAGGCCCTGGGCCTAGGTAGGGAGGATCTGATCCAGCAGGGAAAACACCACCTTCTGAGCTCCTGGCCAGGGTTTAGAACGGAAGTGGTGTCACTGAAGGGGCACCTTAGTGCCACACATAAGGCTGATTAGCTCATTCCTGTAGCATCTATCAGCCTTGCAGGTCTCAGAGAGGGAGAGAAACAGTCAGTAAAATGTTCATCTTTTTATTTTAATGGCAAGAAACGACAACATCCAAACTGTCAAAGATGAAAAGCGATGGGAACACAGGCTGCTGCCCAGGCACTCGGCCTGCCAGAGCCGCAGTCCCAACAGAGTTACAAATATACAGTCCTAATAGAGTCTAGGAGACAGGAACCGGCATTGCACAGAATCTCCACCCTCCAGTATTACAAAATACTCTCCTCCTTGCATAAAAACAAGCCAGGCTTGGAATTGCACAGCAACTCAGCTCATGGGCACGCACACATACACACACGGGGGAAGTGGTCAGCGTGTGTTTCAACTACCTGTACAAAGACTAAGAGCGTACAAAACGGAACGAGAGGATGGGCTCAGGGTGTAAACGCTTCCAGGCCAGGCTCAGTGTCCCAGCAGAGAGCGAGCAGTTTGTGCCATTAAAGAGACATAGTGTCTGTCCTGCTGTTGGCTAATGAGCAGCCATAGCTGGACAATGAGGCCCTTTACTCTGACCCTCTGCATGTGTGAGAGAGATGGACATGGAGATCCATCCATCAGGCAGCATCCTCCAATGGTGCCCAGCACATGACCAACAGCATAAACTGGTTCAGAATCACCTTCCTCTTTAATGCACAAGGGCAGGCCCATGATGGCCCACCTGACCAAAACAGCTTCCTCACAGTGCATGCCAGGGCCTTCAGTTCCCAGGAGCTGCTGCGGTCCTGCATAGGAGAACACCACTCACTTTATGGATGCTGGCTGCAAGCTTGGTAAACAGGCATTCCCCCTCCCCCAAGCATCTGGAGAGATGGGTCACTCTGGCCCCTTTGTGCCCCGGGCACAGCTGGATGAAAGTCCCGTTCCCCCTCCCCGCCCGACAGAACATGTGCTGGTTGTTTGCTGGTGCCCCATACATCTCCTGCAAGTCCAAATCCCCCTTTTGCCTCAGAACCGGGGTCATCTGGCTTGCCACTCATCAATGATTGTGCCTGTGGTGGCCAGGTGTGTGTTGGTTTTCACCATATGGTTCCGTCTTCACCTGGGGGGTGGTGGGAGGGGGGTGGGTGTGGGTGTGGGGGTGTGTGTGGGTGTGTGTGTCAAGACCACGCAGAGGACGGGCGCACACAGCACAGGAGGGGGAATCCCTGGCAGCAGCAGAGACCCAACACCCCTGTCATCATAGTACTGATACAGCAGGTTAATCAAAACAGCCCCAAGGGCAGATCACAGCAACCAGTTCTGTGCCAGAGCAGCCCCCAAAGACATAAGCTCCACCCCAACAGGAATAATGGGGGGGAGGGGGAGAAGAAGTGGCTCCAGGGCCTTCCTGGCCCCAATCCTGCTCTCCTTCCACCCATGCCGGGAACAATTAACTACTGAAAAACTAAAAAGCAGGTTCCCCCCCTCTGTAAACAAAACCAGAAGGGTCCTAAGGAACACCAGCCCCACTCTCCCTGAGCTTCGAGCGCAGGCTCCCACAGCCCCAGTGGTCAAAGACCTGCTGGGCAAGTGGAGCACCCTGGTGCCTTGTTTCTCAGAGCCATCTAGCAACCCAAGGCTGAGATGAACTCACTGGAAGGCAGTCACCTTCTGGCTGCTTCAGGGCACAACATGGCCCCATTGAGCCTTCACGTTTCACTGCTTGTGCTCCACACCAGATTCACCCCTGAACTACTCAACTTCTGGTCCAGACAGGCCTGGTAACAGCCTGCCCTCCCTTAGCCAGCTCCCATGCTCTGGCAGGGTCAGACACTGGCGCAGTGTGAAGGGTCACACCCCAAACAGCCCTGGACTATTTAAGGCTGCTGCACCCACCCCAGCACAAAGCCAAGTGCAGGCCAGCTGGCTACCTGCTTGATATGTTTCCCAGGTCCCAGATTAGAGCTCCCCCAGAAGCAGAGGAGTGAGCCTCATTGTTCTGGAATATTTGGGGCAGACTGCGCTGCCTCTGCCTGGGATCAGGGCCATTGCGGGGAGGTAGCTCCCCCTCCCCTTCTTTATTTGTGTATCTGTTGAAAAGAAGGCAAATGAAGTGACGGCGGTGGGGCAGGCGCGTGGTGCTGGGTGAGCACGGAGCTCCAAGCAGCTCGGGGCAGACAGGAGGGGCCACGCACAGAGAACTGGGAGCCCCGGCCCAGAGAGTGGGAATCTGCATGAAAGCCAAGGAGCAAGGGGTGGAATTATGCAGGGCCCAGCAGGGAGCAAAGGGACACAGGCTGCATCTCGTGAACCATGCTGATAGGGGGCTGGCGTGCGAGTCCCATTGCTTGGGCAAAGCCCCGAGAACAGACTGTAGGGACGACTCCTTCCCTGGCTATGGGGCCAGAGGGCTAGACAGGGCCTCGTCTATACCTTACCTCTAGGAGCTGTAGCTCTTAGGCCCTGGGGTGCTTGTACCAGATGCTGGATCCGGCTCCCTGGCACTCTTGGTACGGGAGTATCTGGACTATGGCACACTCCAAACACAAGAGGCCTCCCCAACGTTGAAAGGTACAGGGCAAGTGTTTCCAATGCGGGTGCTGGAGCGTCAGGAACCCTGTACCAAGGTTAGATACAAGCTCCCTCCTCAGCCTGGCAGCCTCCCTGCTGCGTAAGCAGCACATTTTTTTATCCACACTTCAAGCATGCTGGTGTTCAGCAAATTAGAAACACATGTGAAGGAAGGGGAGGCAGCGGATGAACTTGGGGGAGAGGAATCAGGAAAGAGTGGGGGGAGTGCCAGAAGGAGGAAGCATGGGAGACCCGGGCACACTGCTGAAATTTTGTTGTGGCACCTGGGTCCAGTTTCAACAAGCAGACAGCTTGCTTAGAACTCAGGGCAGATTTATGGGCATGGCTCCACTGGACATGCCAGGGGTCCCTTCCAGCTGTTGGGGGTCCCTTGTGCGGCTGCATAGAGACTCAGGGCAAAGGGAGGAAGCAGGAGTAGGAGCTGGTATGTCAACTGGATAGCAGTTAACTTCTCTCAGGCCCACAAGCATCCCCAATTATTCTGCAGTCTGGACAGCAGAGCTAGTGCCAACTGCAGGAGCAGGGCTGCCCTCTGGTGACCCCCTGTGGCTGTCCCAGGGAGTGGTGTGGGCAGGTTCTGGAGGTAGGCTCCTGAGGATGGGTGGGGGCGGTACCAGTGGTGATGAGCCCAGTGGAAAGGCAGCACATGGAGCCATGACTGGGGCAGGCAAGTGGAAGCTGAACAACAAGAGCCCACAAGGGCTACGGAGTCTGTTGAGGGGGCACCAGTCATCACTCACTCCCACTTACAAGGACAGCACAGAGGCTCCATCTCTCCCCAACCGTGGAGATGGCTCCTATAGGATGTACGGGTGGGAGAGCTGCCGGAGCAGATCCATCCAGTGCAGGGTGTATGGAATGTGGTAGGAGATGGCGGGGGAGAGCGAGCCAGGCTCTGAGTCCCAAATGTCCACTATACAAATGAATACAGCCTCAGCCAGGCCTGGGACAGAGCTGCTGCCGCCTCTTCCCCCTCCTCTGGGACTAAGTAGAGATCCGGGAAGGGCTGGGCCGGACCCGCAGCATGGTAGTCGCCCTTCTGTCCTGCCCGCACTGGCAGGACCGCGGGGTAAGGCACACTGAGCACTACACAGCCGTCTCCTGATCCTCCCGCTGGATCATCTGGTAGTGCTGTCGATTTTCGAGGTAGGCAGCCAGGTCAGGGTCGTTGGCCTTCTCAGCTCTGTGCTTGGGGGTGTCTCCCTGTGCAGAGGAAAAGGAAGCAAAGCGGAGGTGAAACGTCCAAAACACAGACCCACAGGAGATCCCCCCCCACAGCCAGTAACTTTGCAAGTGTCAGAGGGGCTCCTCTGTACCCAGTCTGCAGCCCCGTCACAGAGCACGGAACCTAGAGCTGTAGCAGCTGGTGCTTTTAGCTCTGGAGGCCCCCAGCTCAATCCCCAGTGTGGTAGCCAAGATGGCGGCCACCACACTTGCACCCCTTTCTCCCTGCCATTTTATGTCCTGCTGGGCTGACCATGGGCATCAGAGAGCTGCTCTTACCATGTGGGGAGAGCTCTGCTTACAGCCTGTGCTCGGCCTGGTGTCTCTAGTGAAGAGCTGCGACACCACTAGTATTATGCTGCTCTCCTTCCACCAGACACCTGGGTCCCTCCCTGCTTAACAGCTCCGTGCCTAGGGTAGCCCCTCCCCCCCATTGCTTCCCCTTTCATGGCTGTGTTGTTTGTAGCCTAGTAAACTGGTTTTCAAACTGAGAGGCATGTCTGGGGTGTGTGTGTGCGCACAATTAAGTTACTGGGAGGGTGCGAGGACCTGATTGGTTATGAATTTTTTCTTGTTTCTTCAAAATATTGTTGACAAAATAAGAATTCCTCACACTAGCTGCCAGGCTGAAAGATGGAGGAAGAGGGGCCTCTCCCTGCACAGGAGGTTGGGCAGGGGAATAAGGAGAGGGGTGCAGCCCACCTGTCTGTGTCCTGCTGGGGTCACTCACCTGGAGTGGGTGGCAGGCAGGGGATACTCATGGGCTGGGGAGCAAAGGGGTGCCCTGGTTAGGTTGGGCTCCCAGCCCCCAGGCATCCGTGGAAATACTGTTTCTAAGAAAAAGGGGTGGTGCTCCTGGGACATGAATCTCTAAAGGGGGGCCCAGCAAAAGAGTTTGGAAACTTCTGGCCTAGCAGAAGTGCTGCTTTCCCCAAAAACCACAGGCTGGGAGGAGGATTTCTAGGAGTGCAGCGCCCAGGGTCAAACTGCTGCTGTCCATATTTGGTTCCCTGCAGGGCACATGGCCGAGATGTGCGGTGCACAATGTCTGGTGGTAACAGGTTTGCCATAAAGGGAAGGGAAGCATGACGAAGATATAGGTGCATGCTGGAAAGGATACTTAGATTTTGCTAAGAGACTGGAAGGTGCTGGCTAGGTGAGTTCGTGTCAAGCCCATTTGCACCTCCTGCTGGCTAGGACAGAGACTGTCCTGTTACGTGTATTCCCCTCCTCACGCACTGCATATAAAGATGACCAAGACTGGTCTCTCTGACTGTCCAGTCTCTGTAACCTGTGCTTTCTCAGCTGTGTAGAAGGCAGGCGCTAGACAGAGTGAAGGAGGTGTGGGGGGAGGAGTGAGGTGTATGTCTGGGGAGAGCTTTGAAACACCATCCCTCCCCCTCCCCCTCCCCCCAGTAACTGCTCCTGCTCCTCAAGGAGGCTCACATTTCACCAGCTTATTGCAGCCATCTGGACTGTGTCCACTAATGAACTCCCGCACTCCATAAAAAGCAAATCTGTTAACAGCTTTCAGCTCCGTCTCCTCTCTCCTCCCTTCCCCCTCCCGCTGGTTAACTGCCCCAGCTCCTCCGCGCTGAACAAACCCTCTGCTGAGCAGGGCCAAGGAAACCTGGCACTCTGTCGCTTCCATTGAAAACCCCCTCCCCAAGGAGAGCGCAACTTACCCACACTGGCCCTCAGAGCTCAGCGGGGTGAAGGCAGCCAGAACAAGGGGGAAGGGATCCCAAGCCTTTGGGACAATCCACATCTATATTTCATTTGGGCAAACAATGCTCAGACACGCAAGGGTCTCACAAACATGGATGCAGCTGCAGACGCGGACACAAGCCCACACACACAGAGGCACAAAGGCAGATAGATGCAAGACACACACAAGTCCACTTGCAGTCTCTCTCTCACACACACACACGTAGGCCCAGGATCTCACAGGGATCTCCCCCGGCAGGCTGGAGCCAGTGTGTTGTGCTTCACTGCCCAGTGCTCCTCCAGGGGTCTCCTCAGTAGGCAGAATCTAAACGCTCATTAGCAAAAGGAAATATTGTGTTTCCCCTCTGACTGCACAAGCCCTGATGCAGCGCTGCCTGCCCGAGTCTGTTGCAGAAACGCAGTCTGAAACAAGAGCTGCAAGGGGCCCTCCGCGCAGCTCAACTGATTCATGTAACATGATGAAGCCCAGCCCCATTCTACCCTGGTTTGCTTTGCCTGCGGTGTATGGGACCCAACTGTATTGTATGCACATTACCAAACTGTATTACACTTTGTAAGGATCAGGGTTCACATACAGCTTCCAGAATGTGGTTTGTTCTTGTCCATACTACAGGCAAGTTCTAAGAGGTCAGTGCTGGGGAGGACACAGGACTTCCTAGACAGTCACAAGGCCAGGTGTGCATTTATACAAACAAATACACCCCAGCTGGGCCCCCTCTCCTACAGCTGGGCAGTCAGTCCTTAAACAAATTCCCTTCAGCACTGGCTCGGGGGGGGGGGGGGGGGGGGGGGGGGGGGGGGGGGAAGGGCACTTGCCCCCAAGAACTCAGTGTGACAGTCCCCACCCAGTCCTCAGCCTCCTACCTTGGTCCTTTTCTCCTTTGTTTCTATGGTCACTCGATGTGCCCCCAAACAAAGCCATTCCCGATCTGGGCACATAACAAGGCCCGAGTCATTCGCTGGAAGTTAGGAAGGCAGGGCAGCTGCCGGGGAGTGTTTGTAGAGCATCTCCCTGGCTGCTGGCAAAGGGCTTGATCGCGGTCTAAAGCGTTCAAAAGCTTTTAAAGCCTCATTAGGCTTGGCTGCCCAGGTGAGCTCCTCTCCTGTATCCCAGCCCCGGGAACCTCTGGCACCAAGACATGACTGCACCTCTTCACTATCTACCAGCTCCCAGAGCTGGCCCGGCACTGAGATGCTATTCTGTTCCCTGTGTTATATCCCAACACACAGAGCCTTGACACAGAGACACGTCTGCTTCCCCACTGTTGTATGCCAGCCCCTGGGAACCTCTTGTATCAAAACATAACCTCGCCCTCTTCGCTACAACTCCTCTGGCAGAGACATGACTGCATCCCAGCCGCTGTGTCTTGGTCTTCATGGGCCGGCACCAAGACACAGCAGAATTTATTCTGCACATAGGTGACACTGCCTGACCCACTTGCTAACACACTCTGTGGGGCTAGCTACTAAAGCACGCCCTGCCTTTGCATCTCTCAGAGCTCCCTCCCCTCCCCATCCCCTCACTCGGGAGAGCTGACAGCGCTGCTGGGAGGGGAACTCTCTGGCGAGACTGTCCTTGCAATGACCTCAGATGATGGGAAGGGGGGAAAAGAAACATTCCACCCACTCATTTAGAAAAACCACAAGGGCAGCAGAAAAGAGCTAGGAGGAGACACCCTTTGTGCAGCTGTAAGGTTCTGCTGCTTAGCGAGCGGGCAGGGCTAGGTGAGATTTTGTGCTCCATGCTGAACTACTGGAGAAGCCCGAGACTCCAGACTGTATCCAGGGACCCCCTTCACATAGGGAATGTGTGGCACATTTGGCTGGGCTCTAAGCTAGTGCTCTCACATTCCCTTCACTGCTCCTCTGCCGAGCCAGCTGGCTCACACCTTCTGAATCTCTGTTCCAGGCATTCACCAGTGCCCCAGGTACACCCTTGTTCCCAGCACTCCCATCTCCCATTCCCAGCCCATCTGACCTTACCTGCAGGTCTGTTTTCATGAGCGAAGCCCCAGCCTCCACAATGTAGTGGCAGATAGTGCGCTGGCGCAGAGCAGCCGCCTGGTGCAAGCTGGTCTCGCCACTGGGGAGAAGAGACAAGAGGAAGGAGTGAGATCCCCAAGCAAAGTGAGAGGGCAAGTGACATACACAGGGGCTGCAGTGAGGGACCTCTGCAAGGGAGGCCTGGGATGGGAAGCAAATTCAGTATGGTCACACTTCTTCACTAGTGAACCCCACCCCTGCCTCACAGAGCACCTGGGTGAGAGGAGAATTCAGTCCCTGGGATTGTTCAGTCCAAGCCTGGTCTGGAAGTGGTGGCTGGAGGTTGCAGTGAAGGCAGCTGGGTATAGAAAACAGGGTTTGGGCAATGAATAATACAAACCACAAGCAACTTACTTCTCTTCTTCTGTCGCATCAAGGATCTCTGCAGGGGCTGGGGAGAGAAAGACAATGTGGGGTAATGAGACCAGCCTGCTTGACAGAGACCTTCTTGTTGCTCCCCAGCAATGCACAACACAGTCTTCTCACACATCTGCGATCTCCTGCATACCACTACAGAGACCTCATCTGATAACTGAGAGACTCAAGCAGCTAGGGTTGTAGCTGCCCGGGAACAGTGGCGGAATCTGACCGGTAGGGTTGGGGAGGAGGAGTTGCCCCTGGACCCAAATACAGAGAAATTTAAAAGAAAAACCAGCCCTCATTCTGGTGAGACCCACCAAAACCCAAGCTGTGAGCTGCCCCCGCTGGCAAAAGCGGGTAACTAGCAAACAGACAGGAGACCCAGGCATCAATACTCAAAACACACCAAACTACACCAAGCCATATTGCAGCCTCAGTTGCCTCTGGCTTCGGTGAGATCACACGGGTATCACATAAGTCTGAGGCTGAATCTGGCCTTGTGTCTGCCAGCGAGAATACACACAAACAGAAAGGAAGGACAGGACACTTCCCAAGCCTTGCAGAGAGAAGAGAGGTTGCCACAAACACAGCAAGGCAGAGAGAAGGGCAATTGAACACTAGCATCATCCCCTTCAAGCAGAGACTCATAGGGAGGGTCAGTGAATTTGGCCTCCATCCCTGTGTGCCAGCTCCAGGGGTCACAGCACCCCCATCCCAGAACTGTACCAACAGCTGGATCCAGGCTCCCAGCTTACCATTCTCAATGACGTATTTGACAATCTCCTTGCTCCCCGATTTGACGGCATGGTGCAGCACGGTCTGACCTGAGGAGTCTCGCATCATCAGGTCCCCTCCTGCCTGGTGCAGCTCTCGGAACTACAGGAACACAAGTCAGCTCTGGATTAGCTTCTCCTACTCAGACCTCCTCTAACCTCTGAGCACCAGAGCAAGAGCTGTGCCTGTGGGAAGGCCCTCCCCACTCACACCCTGCAGGGCGGGCCTTCGCCAGCAGAACCTGCAGCAAGATTACCTGGGTAGGGAACTGAACCACTCTCCAAGCTCAGCCAGCAAGGCTACAGCTGCATATGCCAGCCCTCCCAGAAAAGGATTCCTTGTTGTGAGCCTGTCTGGACCCCATCCGGCACTGCTCGGAGGAAGCTCACACTGTTAAGGACGCTCCATGCACTGCTGTGAGGAAGGAGTCACAGCTGGGGCTGGCAGGGCAATGACAGAGCCTGGCTAGCGGGCACCAACAGGGTGCTGGAGAAGGGATGCTCATGCCACACTGGGGTCCTAACTAGCTGCTGTGGGGAAACGCGCAGCACATCCCCAGCTCTGTGGCTGGGTTCATGGCACATGGCAGCTCTTACCTTCTGGAAATCATTACTTTTGGCAGCAACTATCAAGGCATTATCTGCAAAGAGGAGACACTGGTCAGGATGACAGAAGCCAAGTAGGAGATGGGGAGAGAGAGAGCTGCTTGTGCGGGGGAACTAACTCTCTCTCTGTATGCGCATGCACGCGCACTGAGAGAGGTTGAGCTGCTGCGTATCCTGCAGTGGGGCAGGTGGAAACACCAAGGAGGTGCAGGTGGGAGGCAGCCTCTTTTTCCCAGGCTTCCTTCCATTTCAGTCTCCCTTGGGCGTAAGAGGCAGTTTCAATGGCAGAGTGACAGTGCTCACCCCAGGCCAGTTCACATCGTGCACTTCTGGAGCTGTCTTGGGACACTGCTCACAGCCTGTTCGCGCCTGTGCAATTGGAGCTGCCAGAGGCATGTTCCTCCAGCACCACAGTCTGTGCCAGTGACCTCCTCCCGGTGTGGGAGCAGGGCCAAAATCTCCCCTCCCTCCCCAGCTGCTGGGCACAGCTGGCTGCTTCCTGCTGACAGTCCCTGAACATCAGGGTGCTGCTGGCAGGGCATCCCTGGGCCTGGAATTCCCGTGAGTCCAATCCCCTCGCGCAGGGCTTGGGAGGAGAGGGGTTCGGGGGAGTCCGGAAATCAGCGGCCACTGGCCAGGCTGGTTTTGCCTGGAACACGGCATGCACCAGAGGGTTAGTGGGGGGCTCAGCTTTATAATGCTGGGTGCCCCTGGGGGTGGGGGAGAGGTATGGAGAAAATAGAGGCAGCCCACGGGATGGGGTGTGAGGGGAGAAACACCCATGGGAGGGAGAGGAGTTAGACCACATTCCTGGGGGCAAGGCCAGGCCCCAGCTTTGGCGAGGTCCAGAAGGAATGTTTTCAAGACCATGGGAAAAGTAACTCCTGAGGTGGAGGGGGAGAGCAGGGCAAAGGGCAAACGTGGGGGTCCCTGGGGAGCCGGCCAGCTGGGATGCCTCTCACCAGTGACTCACTCACACTTCCAGGAACCGGCTCTGTTCAAGCTCCAGGAAACTCTTTCCATTTGCTCAGCTGAGGGAGGCCCCTGACCTTGTGCTCCCCACTCCCAGAGCCCCTGCCGGTGCCTGGCAGAGACAAACCCCACCCCCAGCAACACAGCTCAAGGCCTGGGCTCTGCAGGTGGGAGATTAACCTCACCACCCTGTCATTTCCTGCCGTCCCCAACTGGGAGCTCCACACTTCACAAGCAGGCTGGGAAAAGGCTCCCTGCACTGCTCCACTGTGCGAGCAAATGGCTATCAGGTCTATCCAGCCAGTCACTCCTGCCAGTCCCCTTAGGGCACCTCCCCGGAGAACCTGAGCCCCGATACCCCTGAATGGCAGTGCACTGTGCAGTCACTGCAGCCCCAAGTGTGACCTGCTCCCTCGCCACCCCATAGGCTGTGCAGTGCTTGCAGAGCCTGTGCTTGGGTCCGGATCCCAGACAGAGCGGTGCCATGTGACACCAGCAGGGGTGGGGCTCTCCAGACATTCTCATCACCCCCGTGTTCTCAGACGATGACAGTGTTCAGTTTGTGGGGAACACAGAATCAGGGCAGGGACTTGGGAGCATCTGCTAGTGTAACCCTAAGTGAGACAGGAACAGGGACGCCTGAGATGTGCCAGAGGCCTGCAGCGCAGGTTGAAGGACTCACCTTCACGGCAGGGGCAGCCCCCTGCTTCTGAGCTGGAAGAGAAGAGAGGGAGAGATTCAGAACTGATGCTGTCAAATGCTATTGTAAGCAAGTCTTCTGCAGCAAATTCCCTCCCCTGCACTCTTCTCTGTGATCCCCACAGGCAGAGCCCGTCAGCATCCCTTGCTGGGAGAGGCCAGGACTGGACTAGCTGGGAACTCCTTGTGATGAAGTGGGAATTTTCTGTAATATTTTTTGAGTCCTGTTTGTGCCTCAGTTTCCCCTATGGGCTGCGCTGTTACTTAGGGGGTAGAAAAGGGCTGTTTGCTCAGACGTAGATATGGGTGTCACCTAAATGTCTGGGGCTTGGTCCCCATATCAATGGAGCCTCTGAAAAGAACACGGAAAATCCAGTTGTCTGGACATTGAGACCTAGCAATCAATGACCTAGAGAGATGTACACTTCCCCGCCTCTCACTGGGGGTGGGGGCGGAGCACAGCTGAGCAGCATGTCCCAGGTCTGGAACAAAGGAGGACTCTAGGTGGGGGGATAAGTGTTGGCTGCTGGAGGCACCCAGGGAGGCTCTCACCTGGATCCTGACCGGAGGCGGGCGGCAGGGGTGGGGTGGAGGGGGGAAGAGAGAGAGAGCGAGCGAGCGCGCACTTGAACAATGGGGTTCACTACAGCTTGGCTGGGCTCTGGCTAATCAGAATGGACTAGGCTTTAACCTTCCTTCCTCTTTGCTCACTTAAGGACGTCCAATGCTTTGTTCCAGATGACTTATAAACCCCCCTGTTTTGACAATGCTGCATGTCACTGCACATGCTTGGCAAGGTGCATTAATCCCTAAAGAGCGTACAAATCTTCTGTCTCAGTTGGACTTGCTGAACGGCGCTCACAGTGTGAAGCAGGAGTGCTGCAGGCCCAGAGGTCCAGTCTAAGGAGGCGGTGAAGCCGCATGGCTTACTCTGGAGGAAGTGAGAGACTCCTTTGGGGTCTGGCACACTGAAGGGGTCCCCCCCACGACATTGTTCCAAAGCTGGGGCTGTAGCACCAATCCTATGGATCTGTGACACTTTCCCATTGCCAGAGCCCTACCTGATGGCTAGTCAAGCTGGGGCTGTGTGAGCGGCAGAAGTTTCCTGTGTACCAGCCTGCCACACAGTGCACTGTCACAGGAGAGACACTGCTGCATCAATGCCAGCTGAAATAGGAAGGAGAAAGGAATCCCAGAAATGTAGGGCTGGGTGGGACCTTGAGAGATCATCTAGTCCAGCCCCCTGCGCTGTGGCAGGGCCAAACAAACCTAAACCATCCCTGACACGTGTTTGGAAGTTTTTAAGACCAGGTTGGACAGTGATAGGGATTCCACAACCTCCCTTGGAAGCTTAGTCTAGAGCCTAACTATCCTTATAGCTAGGAAGTTTTTCTTAATATCTAACCTAAATCTCTCTTTCAGCAGATTAAGCCAGCTACTATTTGTCCTACCTTCAGTGGACATGGAGAACAATTGATCACGGTCCTCTTTATAACAGCTCTTAAGATATTTGTAGACTATCATCAGGTCCCTCTCAGTCTTCTTTCCTCAAGACTGAACATGCCCAGTTTTTTTTGACCTTTCCTCATAGCTCAGATTTTCTAAACCTTTGATCATTGTAGTTGCTCTCCTCTGGATTCGCTCCAATTTGTCCACATTTTTCCTAAAGTGTGGTGCCCAGAACTGGACATAGCACTCCGGCTGAGGCCTCACCAGTGCTGAGTAGAACAGAACAATTACCTCCCCTGTCTTACATACGACACTCCTGTTAATACACCCCAGAAAGACATTAGCCGTTTTCACAACTGCATCACATTGTTACTCATTCAATTTGTGATCCACTAGAACACCCCGATCCTCTTCAGCAGTACTCCCACCTAGCCAGTTATTCCCCATTTTGTAGTTGTACATCTGACTTTTTTCTCTCCCTAGCGAAGTACTTTGCACTTGTCTTTATTGAATTTCATTTTATTGATTTCAGACCAATTCTCTAATTGATCAAGGTTGTTCTGAATTCTCATCCCGCCCTCCAAAGTGCTTCCAGCCCCTCCCAGCTTGCTGTCTTCTGCACATTTTATAAGGATACTTTCCACTTCGTTATCCAAGTCACTAATGAAAATATTGAATAGTGCCAGGCCCAGGACTGACCCCTGTGAGACCCCACTAGATACACTGTCCCAGTTTGACAGTGAACCATTCATAACTACTCTTTGAGTACAGTTTTTCAGCCAGTTGTATAACCACCTTACAGGGCCGGCACCAAGCACCCAAGCTGGTGCTTGGGGCGGCACCTGGAGGGGGGCGGCGCGGCGCTGCGGCCGCCGGGGAGAGCGGGGCCACAGCCGGGCTCGCCGCCCTCCCCCCCGCCGCC